AAAATGACCGGCATCTCATCTGCCTATTGAGTCCGTTTGCGTTAGAATGACACGTAACTTTGTGATGGCATATCTAGTTTTATAGACTTAGAGGAAAAAAATTGTAATTAAAAATATTACTTCCAATTGAATTTAAAAGTTTTTTTAAATATTAGTTAGGCTTTGCCTTCACATTTAGCCAATGAATTATCAGATTAAATTACAAAGTAATAATAAAATATGGTTAATGTGAAATGTTATCTCAAATGAAATGTTACTTTTAGGTGAACATCAATTGAACATTACGTAAAAAACTAACACTTGAATCAATTGACTCACCTTGAATCGTTATTTTCATTCCACGATATTAAAGTTTTCCCATCTAAAATCATCTTGTAAAGCAAAAGGGAAGAACCGAATGTCAAAATGTTTTTTTTGTGCGCACAAAAAAATTTCAATGGCTTATAACCGAAAAAATGTTGAAAACTAGAAAATGTAATGAATACCTATAATGCAAATGATAATACTTACATTTTATTTTCCGCCACTTAATATTATACTGCCGGCACTGAAATAAATAAACCTGCTATGTAGTCACAACCAGCGTTGGGCAAAATTTAATTGTTCAGGCAATTAAAGATTGACAATTAATTAATTGTCAACTGCGAAACAGCAATTAACAATTGATTAATTGTTAATTGCGAGAAATTAAGTGAGGGGGTCGTCAAAATCGTGCTCGCCATGCAATTAATTTAATTGCAATTAAAATCAATTCAATTGAAACCAATTGCAATTAAAATTAATTGCGACGTTGCATTTGATTTTCATTGCAATTGATTTCAATTGGATTGATTTTTTAGTCTGATTGAATTTCTAATTGAAATTTAATTGATTAATGCTCAACACTGATCACAACTAATGCTTTATAAACAAATAGAGAATACATTGTTACAAATATACAATAAGTAAAAAGGTAATACAGACTGTTCTTATGAGTTCTATGCGGACAGCCAAAGCGAGCAGGCGTGCCACTCGCTATTCCCGAACCTTTTTTTTACGTCATTGTTCACAGATGTCTATTGTCCTAAACCGCGCGGGTTGTGTTACCGACAGTCAATTATTACGATACTTGAATTACTCAAAACAACGCTCTAAAAACAAAATCTAATAGTATCGGTTATCATTAAAAGCGCTTTTTCAAATAGTGTAAATAAAAGTGCATCAAATTAATTACTCAAAAATAACATCCTGAAACCAAAATATAAAAGTGTCGGTTACCATACTAGTAAAACAGCAATAAAATAAACTTTATATAAATTGTGTAAACGTGGTTCAAAAAGTGCAGTGCAAATCTCATCTACAGTCAAATCTACATAGAGATCGAAACATTCAAAACAAAACGGCCGGCGACGAGCGAACCTGCTACCACCTGCAACCTGCACGTAACACACACGCGAGACCACAAAACCCGGTGAGAGACACCCAAATGTTTTCTTTAAACTAACTGCAGGAAAGATAGAATCAATGGTTACTAGTTAATTCTCCGACGCTTTCGTAAATCCACTACTTTTTTTTTATCAGAGACGCCGTTCAAACGATTTGTATAAATTAAGTTATTTGCTACCCCATACATTTCGGAACCAGTGCGTTATAATCACACGCCAACCATTTGGAAAATTAAGCGAGACTATCTAGGTATTAAAAAAGCAAAGTACAGCTGACAATAGACACTCTGCCCCCTTAGATCGGTTTTTCATGCAAACTGTCAAAATAACCATATTTGGGTGTTTCTTCCGTTTCGTGCAAATTTGGTGATATTTCTAAATTTTAGAATTATTGTTGAACTTTATGCGATTTTATATAAATATAAAGTTAACACCGTAATCTAGTTTATATTATACTTTCTTACTGTCAATAATTATGAAATTATAACCTATTGAAATATCGCAGTGAGAAGGTAATGAGAACTTCATCGAGGGAAATGACAATAATAAAAAAAGTGGGGAAAGTTGGTGCGACGGTAATACGGATGAATGGAAAGAAATGATAACAAATTTGTTTTGTGTACCTTGTAAATTTTTTTTTAAATTATTACGAAACAATGCTTAAAAATATAATCAAAACATAACATAATATTAGCTAAATTAACCTTGTCAGTGTCAAAAATAAAATAGAAACAATTTAAAAAATCATTTTTCAGTCAATTATACATTTAAAAAATAAACAAACATAATAAATAAAGGGACGGCGCGCGGCGGCAGCGGCGAAATGTTAGTGTCAATTTATGTTTTGTTGATGTTTGTTCGTATTCGTGACGTGATAAATAATCTAAATTATAAAAATACCGTTTTGATTTGACTTTGATAAACGGCATTATTTCAGTTAAAACAAATTCATCTGATGTTTTGTTCAGCCTAAATTTGGATGTAAATTCAGCGTCAGTTAAACTTACCATGAAGTTTATACGCCTAAACGTTCTTGAGGACACAAGCTGCTCTTGGTCGCTGTCGCTGTTATCCCAGTCCGATAACTGAGCAAATGTTCAAGTTCAAGAAATGGAACATAATCACGGCCCACATACCAAACGCTACATCCAAACCACCGAAAACATTTTCAGCACTCCAAAAACTCATCAAAACCAACGGAACCAATCGATAATGATTATAGCAGGTGATTCCAAGTCTGCTTCAAGGGTGCAGAAAACGCTAAACTTATCTCTAAAAACCTATTTCATGGCACCACCAACGACAACTTCCTAAATATTTTTTCCTATTTAGATCGCAAAACTTAAAACATCCCCTGAAAAGTTCTTCGAAATGGCGCTTTCGCCCTTTCTATAAAACACCGACGATATAATCGTGAACATACATATATATCTGAGTGTCATGGTAATTTTCAATTTAAACTTCCACTAACGTCTCAGTGCATTTATGAAATGTAATTTGTTATAATTATTAATTCGAACACAGTCGAATAATCGAACACAGAGAAAAATTCGTTTATAAAATTGGGCTTATTCACAGTACAGGCGCAGGCGCGGTGGCGGGTATGGGCGCGCGGGTCTTGGCGTCTTCCCTCTCACATTGCCGAAGCGACTACGAGCGGGAAGATCTACACGTCGGAATTGCAAACAGACGCTAGACCAAGCATTGTGAAAGGTACGACGGATCGAACTAATTGATCTACCCGCGCAGCGCGCACGCACCCGTGCCAATACCCGCTTCGAGGTAGGCGCCGCCGCCGGCGCGCGTGATCGCTGTGAACACAAGGAGCTTCCACGTACATTTCATTTATTCGCACCCGCAAATTATATTTTTCCAATTTTACGGGAATTATTCTGGAAAAATTAATACGTTTTGAAATTTTTCGGAAAATTGCCTAATCTATACCATAGATTTAGTATACTGAGGGCCGTATTCCAGAACTCTACTCAATGCTCAAGTCAGGAATTGAGTATGATTTCAAGCACTGGAAATATGACTCTAATGGCAAGGACTTGAGTATGAGTTCAAGCACTAGAAATCATACTCAAGTCCTTGCCATTAGAGTCGCATTTCCAGTGCTTGAAATCATACTCAAGTCTGCTCAAGTCCTGACTTGAGCATTGTGTAGAGGAGAAATAGCAGGTTTTAACTGAACCGAAACGATAGCAGGTTTCGAATACCAATAACGGTTTCTGAAACTATTTATTATCAGTAGCTGCTTTTTTGACCGTATTTGATTTCAATACGTCACTCAATAAATGTGCAGTTTGTGAAACGATGCATTTAGCGGTAGAGCGTTGTCGATGAACTTCCCTTCATATTATATCCAGTCTTAGGACTGGCTGCAAATTATTACTTAATACATATATCTAAGTGTTTTTTGCGTAGGTGTGCTTTAAAAATTGCCCGTGCTTGATTTGTAGCTGTACAGCTCACTGCACATTAGACATTTTCCTTTTTTGTTTATACTGTCTTTGGTAAAATAGTCTCACAACATACTGCAATTGGCGCGAGACGCCATTATTTTTGGTAAAATTTCAATACAAATTATTTACAATATATGTATATATATACATACTACACACTAATTTGAAATATTTACAGTTTATAAAACTCTCCCACTTATGAACTTAATTACAAAAGCAATTTTATTTGTTTCAAAAACAACTTTTTTATACTTTAAAAATCGTATTTTATAATAAAACGCCACTTCACATACGTAACGGTCAACTATCAAGAATGTCAATTCAACGAGATTGATTGATATACTTACATGATATTATTAATAACTAATTCATGGCTAATTGCACTTAAATTTAAAGGCAGTGAGGGTCGTATTCCAGAACTCTACTCAATACTCAAGTCAGGACTTGAATATTGCAGTGAGCACTGAAAATCATACTCAAGTTCATGCCATTGGGGTCGTATATCCAGTGCTTGAAATCATACTCAAGTCTGCTCAAGTCCTGACTTGAGCCTTGAATAGAGTTCTGCAAAGAATGCATCGCTTCCGTTTACATTCGTGTACGCGGCAGTTGACGCCGACGTGACGTCGATATGAATCGGATTTTTGCCGGGCTTTATACTGTCAAATTAAAATGTACTCTTAGCTCGGACGCTCTGTATATGAAAAGTGACCCATATTTAAGGTCCGGTTAGTAACCAGTTACTCGGACAGAATAAATACTTTCATTTGACAACTAAAACCCAAAAGCCGCTACTGTATCGATAGCTAATTTCAGAAACTGTTTGCGTTCTGAAACGCCCACCACCATTCCAGAACTCTACTCAATGCTCAAGTTAGGACTCGAGTATGATTTCAAGATATGGAAATACGACTCTAGTGGCAAGGACTTGAGTATGATTTCTAAATCATATTCAAGCCGAACTTGAGCATTGAGTAGAGTTCTAACCCTTAAACTTCAATTATTTCAATTTCAATTGTCAATGTCAAGCTGACATCCTGCTCCACAAACTAATACACAAATTAGAAAGATATAGTAATAGCCTTTAGCTTGTTATTTACTCTTTGGCCTGTTATTATATAGTGTGAGTGTGACTGTGGATTGTTTTTGTTGACATAAATCCGAAATAAAAATGGAAATAAATTAAATTATATTGAAGAATCACAGTAAAATGGCTGCAATAGGACCAGAGTTTTTGAATTTTATAAAAAAATTGGAAGACAACGGTGATAAACTTGTGATAACTACGCCGTTAGAACAACCAATCGAATTCGAGTTTAACGTATGTAAAACTATCTTATTTTTACCATTGTTACATTAAATACACACAAGAATTTATTATAATTATAGACATTGAATTATAGAATTCAACATGTTACGTATGCAATGGTTACTACGGACCGAGTTTTGGAGAGCCAGTGTGTGTCACATGTCATGCATTCCTCTTCCCGGATTTCCCCTCGTATTTGCCAAGTTCCTACTTCTACAGCGAGAAAACTGATGATGGTGACTCTGGGAATGATGAGCCATCAGATTTGAATTATAGCTCAGATCGTAGACTAAACAGAACATGTCCTTTACCTGCTTGGTGGTACTATAGAGTGAGTACTTATTACTTTAGTCGAATTTGACTACATTCGTCTTAACCCTTTTATGGACAATGACGGCCTTTACCGTGAAATTAAATATAAGAATATGACAGTATGGGTTACTCCACTTTGCTATATAGATCTCAAAAAACCAACTGCAGGCTTTACAGTGTGATTTCCAAGTGTTTTGCCGCCTACTGCTTTCCCATAGAGATGTATCAACAATGTACTGACAAAATGCAATGCTTTACATATATTGAACATTTTATATTAAATCAATATAAGTACTATCGCAAGAAAAGTACTAGCATTATTCTATTTTTTTTTTATAATATCAAGTGGCAGGACAAACAAGTTGTGCGCCTGATGAGAAGCCACATGCTTGTCCATGACAGTTACAGTACCACTCAGAGCTTTAAATCGCAAAGATCTGATGGGTACTGCCACTGCACCCGTCACCTTGAGACATAAGTTGACAAGTCCCATGTGCCTGTAATTTCACCAGCACCCTTACCCTTCAAAACCGGAACACCTAAATACTAACATTAATGCTTGGTGGCAGAAATAGGTAAGGTGGTAGTACTATCCTGGATGAACTCTTTCACAAGGAATTCTACTGCTACTAAACAACTCTTGTGTGGTACTATTCAACTACTGTCCATGAAAGGGTTAAGATGTGATGGACAGAAAATATAAAGATTCTAATGCTATAATCGTTGATCAGAATTGTGGGAATTAGTTTACCTTAAGTACAAATATTTTCTTAGTATGGACATACCCATTTCATCATCAATTCATATATAATTTCTTTTTTACTATTTTCAAAACATTTCAAAGTATAGGTTGTCAAATGTTATTTTGTGAATGGCTAAATAAAGTATTTAAATACACAAGTACCTACAGAAACACAATTACAATAAATATTATTAATCATATATATAACTATATCAGTATATATAACTCGAGAATTGGCACTTTTAATAATTTATTATGGTATGATAACGAGATACATGGATACGCATATATTCATGACTCTAATTCGAAATTAAAATATGACTATAGTATGTTCAAGACATATAGTGGCACTCTTAACAATTATGGATATAACTCGATTTTTAAAGATTTGGATGAACTGATGACTGGTATAAGTAGTAGCTTATCATTAGAATTGATTGCTAAAAATGTGGGAGTATTGGAAGTAACAAAAAATAGTGGTTCTACAGCAAATCGTAATGATTCCGTATTAAATTCATTTGATAATAATTTTTTTCGTGTATAATCATATAAACATACTTCATCAGAATATTAATGGATTATTAAATAAATCAGACAAATTGATAGTAGGATTAAATGAACTCAAACGTAATAATAAACTAATTGATGTGTTATGCGTTACAGAACATAATATGATCAAAGAAGATACTTCACTATTAGGCATGCAGAATTATAAACTACGGACTTTTTCTACACGTAATACAGATCTGGAGGTTCTTGTATTTTGACTAGGCATGACTTGAACGTTAAAGTAATTGAATCTATACCTAAATATAGTATACCATATGTTATGGAGTGCTGTGGAATTGAACTTGTTGATCATAAGTTAATTGTCATATGCGTATACAAATCACCAAAGAGTAAAGATGCTGCAAAATATTACGAACAGTTTTCTAAAAACTTCAAAGAAATTATATCTCCAATGACATCTAATAACAGAAAAATTATCATTTGTGGCGATTTTAATATTGATAGATTAACTAGAAATAATAAAATGACGCAAGAATTTGAAACATTAGTACAAAGCTACAATATGGAATTCGGTATTAATGAAATTACAAGACCAAACAGTGGTACGTGCATCGACAATATAATACACAACATTCGTAACGGGAAAGCTGAAGTGATAGAGTTAGGCCTGTCTGATCATAAAGCACAAATTATGACTTGTCCAGTAGAGAAATCATGTAGGTTCAAATATTGGTATTTTTTTAAACGTGACTACTCCCAGGAAAATTTGAAAAAATTTAGCGAATATATCCAATGCTTGTCTTTTGATGAAGTAAAATAAAAATAAAATAAAAAAATAAAATAACTGTTATACGATCTCTGCTTTCCGGTAATCAGAATGAAGAGATCTACATTACAGAGGCCAAAGTGGTTATCTAAGGGCATTATAAAATGCAGTAGAAGGAAACGATCCTTGCTATGGAAAATAGGATATCCCAAAAACAAGTTGATAAAGAGAATTTTAGAAAATTTGTTAAAAAATACAATAAAATAATCAATTTAACTCAACTTGCTCAAAATAACTATCACATTTATAAGTCAAGTAATAAATCAAAGGCTACATGGCAGATTATAAATAAACAAAAAAATTTTACGCCTAAGGAACAATTCACTGAATTGTGCATGATGGTAAACGTGTTACTAATCCTTCAAAGATTGCTCAACTTTTTAATGACTACTGTATTAATATTACGAAATTAAAACATAACAAAAATCTAAACTTCAAATCTACTTGCAAACACAACAGTCCTTCCTCTTTTTTTATGAAGCCCACTGATCCTGGATCTATTGCACAGATTATTAATCTACTTAAAAACACAACAAGCACGGGTTATGACGACATAAACACTAAAGTATTAAAAAATAATAGGGGTTAAAGTATGAAATTGCCGATTTGTACTGAAAATCTAAATTGTTTATTTTTTTAATTTTTAACAAATTTATTTAATCAAAATAGTTGCCATTATTATCTGTACATTGCTGCCATCTAATGGGAAGGTTATTAATGCCTTTGCGATAGAACTCCGACGATCTAGACTGCACAAACTGTGTGAAAGCATTTTGTACTGCCTCCTGGGAAGAAAACTTCTTGTCACGTAGATAAATTGTCCAAATCACGAAAAAAATGGTAGTCCGTTGGAGCAAGGTCTGGTGAATACGGAGGATGACGAATGGTTTCTAACTGCAGTTCCTGAAGGGTCAAAATGGTTTCTCGTGCTGTGTGAGGTCTCGCGTTGTCGTGGAGCAATAATGGTGAAGATCGACTCATGAGTCGGGGCTGTTTTACTGCTAGTTTTGTCAACATGGTTCGGAGTTCGGCACAATAGACATCTGCCGTTATTGCTTGACCAGATCGGAGAAAACTATAGTGAATAACACCATGCTGAGACCACCAAACAGTTACCATTACCTTTTTATTGGTAAGTTTTGCTTTAGGACACTGTTGTGGCATTTGACCTGGGGTCAGCCATTGCATTTTTTCTTTTCCGGTTATCATAAAGAATCCACTTTTCATCACATGTTACAATTCGATCCAATATTCCTTCATTTCTGTACCGGTTCAACAAGGCAACACAAGTTTCAACACGCGTTTCTTTCTGCAGATCAGTCAAAACATGAGGCACCCATTTTTCGTATTTTTTTATTTTATTGATTTGACGCAAGTGAGTCAATATTGTGGGTAAGGTAACGTTAAACCATGCCGCTAATTCCTGGGTAGTTTGACTAGGATCGGCTTCCACTATCTCTCTTAATTCATCGTTATTCACCTGTGTGGGCGGTCTTCCTCGTGCCTCGTTCTTTAAGTCGAAATTTCCATCACGAAAGCGTTTAAACCAAAATCGCACGGTGCGTTCATTAGTAGACCCCTCTCCAAACGCAGCATTGATATTGCGGGCTGTTTCTGCCGCGTTAGTTCCGCGTCGGAACTCGTATTCAAAAATCACTCGAATTTTCGCAGTATCCATCTTTCTTGTCTAAATTGAATAACAAAAACAATTGAAAGTCGATATTCAAATGTTTCAAATTTAAAAAAAAAAAAATCACAGAAACCATTTGAAAAAAGTTTCATTCGAAAACCTCAAACCATGAAGATTCTATGAAAATTCAAAGAACCTATTGCAATATAACGGCAATTTCATACTTTAACCCCTAATACATGTCTTACTATATCCCCAATTTTAAGCTACATAGCAAACCTTTGTTTTGAACAAGGAATTTACCCTACCGCACTAAAAACTACAATAATCAATCCCATATATAAAAAAGACGATAGAAAAGACTTAAAAAATTACAGACCAGTGGCCCTAATACCGGCACTCTCAAAGATCTTTGAAAAAGTGATACACAATAACCTGTACGATTATTTTGAAAGCAAAAATATATTTGCAAAAGAGCAAAAAGGATTTCGAAGAGGAAAATCAATAGATGTAGCTGTTTATGAGTTTTTGAGTAGGGTATATTCAGGAATGGATAGAATGCGGGAAGTCTTCGCCTTGTTTTTAGACATGACAAAGGCTTTTGATTTTGTTGATCACAGAATACTTTTAGAAAAACTGGAGACCTACGGTGTTCGAGGTAACTCTTTGTCTGTACTTAAGTCCTACCTTAGTGATAGAATTCAATTAACAAGAGTAAATAGAATCTGCAATAAAACAAATACTGAAAAAATATATACGTCCAGATCAAATACGCTTATTCATGGTGTCCCTCAAGGAAGTATCTTGGGGCCACTCTTATTTTTAATTTATATTAATGACATAATAAAATCCACACTTTATCCGATGGTACTATTTGCAGATGATTGTACTATACTGTACGAAGACAAATCTAAAATACTTGACAGTCTTAAAGAAGTAGTAGAGTGGCTTAATAATAACAACTTAAGTATAAACCTCAGTAAGACTAAAGTTATGAGCTTTCAACTAACAAAATCCCCCTTGAACCCATTTACTAATAATAACATTGACGTTGACATGACCACTACTACTAAATTTCTAGGCTTGTATATAGACAGTAACATGAAATGGCAATCCCAAATAGAATTTATATGTAAGAAGGTGAACCAGTTCTCATACGCGTTATTTATGTTAAGGAAGAAAGCTAGCCTCGAGGTGGTTCTAACAGCATATCACGGTTTCATAGCTTCAAAATTGCGCTACGGAATAATTTTCTGAGGTAATGCTATAAATGTGAAGAGAGTGTTCCTAGCACAAAAGAAGTGTATTAGAGCAATGTGTGGTCTAAAACGAACAGATAGCTGCAGACCTTATTTTAAGAAACATAAATTACTAACGCTAATGTCTCGTTATGTATTTAATACCGCAGTTTTCATCAGACGCAATCCAAACTTCTTTAATTGTGTTAAGAGTGCCCGTAGGAATAATAAACTTGACAGCGTAGGTGGCAGATCTGCCCTCCTATGTAATAGTATTATTGCAATGAGTGCCAAGATTTATAATAAATTACCATCTGACATAAGGAATATTAAGGACATTGTAACATTTAAAAGAAATCTATTTGAATACCTTGTTAATGAAACATTTTACTCTATAAACGAATATTTCGGTAATAATTAAGTAATTTGACATTAAATAAAATTGAGTAATAATTAAGTAAATAAATAATAATTAAGTAAAATAACTATCTTCATCATCCACTTATGTAGTTCGTATGCCTGAAGGTGCAACATAGAGGGTCGCTATAACTTATTTAATACCATGTATTTCAATGTACTGTATCCTATGTTGACGAATAAATGCATTTGATTTGATTTGATTATTTTTTGACAATAATTTGTAGCAAGTACTTAATAGGAAATAATAATTTGTTGCCAATGTACCCAAATTTCAATAAATAATACAAATACAATCAGTTGCGAGGAGTCCCTGAATATGTAGAATATCCAAATTATTCTCTGGCTTAACTAAATTAACTCCCTCAATTCTGATCACTGGTTATAATATATGTATGATCATAATTAGTTGACTTATCACAGTTATACATATTATTATTTATATAATGACAAAATCTATCCACATTCAGAAATTTTGCATGTCTTTTTACAAATTTATGTACACACACTGTCTCAGAATAATAGAAAAAATTTGTGTGATTTTACTAGAATTCTTTAGACAGTGAAACAAGTCCTGAAGATGAGGCAAGTCGAGCCAGTAATTCAGGTCCTGGAGCCAGTGGTAGTGGCAGTGGAGGCAGTGCATCTGGAGGCCCTTCTTCACGCCCTGATAGCTTTGGCGATAGAGCTGGACAAGGCCCACCGCCACAACCTCCTAGTTTGGCTCGCTCACTGCAAGCGCTGTCTATTCCTAGACCACCAGACAATTTGGCCCCTGGCCTAGTTGAACAGCTTCCTAGTGAAGGTAAAGGAATTCTTTCTTTTATAAGTTTTATTAAAGCAATGGACACTTTCCTTTGTATTGTAAATTATTCTTCTGATCTAAACTTATTTCACTTTGATGCATATGAGCTTTTTCGATATACAACCTATTTTCTTTTTAATGAATAAGATAACTTAAAACAATTAATCTTTCTATGTTCAGAGCTATTGAAGAGAAAGGAAGGGGATTCAAATTCCAATGCACTTACTATTTGTCACATACATCATCATATCATAATAATTTCTTGATTTCATGTACATACACTGCAAATTGCAATAAAATCTTTAAATTTAATGTGTTTTTTTAACAACAATACTCATTTATTTTATCAAAGTGAAACAAGAGACTGAAGATTAATTAATGAAGCAAAAATCAATAACTGTTTTGAATATAATTGTGTTCATTGAAAATAATTGTTTGTTATTTTGTATGGTAGTGCTGCTATGCATCTTCAGCTACCTGGACGATCTGTCTCTATGCGCGTGTGCGTGCGTGTGCGCGCGCTGGTGGCGGCTGGTGCGCGCGCGAGTGGCGCCACCGCGCTGGGCTGCTTTTGCAGCGCGCCGCTGGCCGCTCTTCCGCCCACTACGCCTCGACATCGATTGGCATGAGGTGATATATAGGATTCATCGCGTTAATGGAGTTGACAAAACTAATTAAGACTTTTGATGCAGTCATCCACAATGAATAAACATCATACATCAATTAGTAGCAGTTTGGTTTACAAGGGTGCTGGTGAAATTACAGGCATATGAGACTTGTCTCAGGGTGGCGGGCGCAGTGGTAATGCCCCTAATATCTTTCCGATTTAAATCCCTGAGTGGTACTGAAACTGTTATGGATAGGCGTGTCACTTACCACCAGGCGCACGACTTGTTCGTCCCGTCACTTATTATTATAAAAAAAGTATAATATATAGAATTGTTTCTCAAATTTTTAATACATTTAACTCAGTTCAACATGTTCAGAAATACCAAGCGCTGGTGGAGTCGTGTTTCTGCCGCAACTGCTTGGTACAGATGTGCGTGCAAGCACAGCCCGCAGGCGAGGAGAATGCCTGGCGGCGGAACAGGCTCAGAATCGAATTAAAGGTAAAACAACTGGCTGACCTGCAACTTAGCATGTAAATTATATTATACTGTAGCCATGACACTATCGTTACTATGACGGGGAATTTAGAGCCTAAGAGCGATGTGTCAAAACAAGCAAACAAGCACACGATATGGCAATATTCAATAAAATCCCAGATGCAATGAAAAATCACAACTATTAATTGACAACAGCATGGAAAAATATTTAAATGACAGTTCCTTAAAATAGGTAAATGCTGACACTTGTCACCAATTTACTTATTACACTTTTTTGGCATTGTACCTATTATTGAAATGAAATAATTTATTTCGGACAGTAGATTATATAGGGCGTACTATAAGTTTCCGGAACTGGCCACTTCTATAAACAATATTTAAAAAGTAATCGGCTCAGCGGAGCTTCACTCGGCTTCAAACTGCTTTTGGCGATGAAGCACCATGCAAGACGACTATTTATTTATAGCTGGTATATTGTTTATGTAAGTGGCCAGTTCCGGTAACTTAGAACTGGCCACTTACATAAACAATACTTAAAAAGTAATTGCAACATTTGAAAATGGCACTCTTTGGCGTAAAATACAGTTTATTTCATCTGACTGTCACTTGTTTTTACATTGTGGCGTCATTTTAGAAATGGTTGTTTACATCACCATGAATTTAACTCATGAAAATGTTCGTAGTATGATTTTCTACGACTTAAAGTGTAATTCAATAGCTCAGCGGAGCTTCCCTCGGCTTCAAACTGCTTTTGGCGATGAAGCACCATGCAAGACGACTATTTATTTATAGCTGGTATGCAGAATCCAAACGCGGTCGTGTGAATCACAGTGACGAATTTCGTGATGGTCGCCCGTCCACTACTATGCACAACAAAAACATCGATTCTGTGCGCCGTATGATCAAAACAGACAGGCATGTGACATACTATGAGATTCGGGCACCTTAAGGCATAGGTTGAGTCAAATACAATCAATACTATACAAACTATTGGGTGTGAAACAGCTGTGCTCTCGGTGGATCCCACACAATTTGACTGAGGCTCAAAAAACGGATCGCGCCATGCTTACCAGATTCAACAAAGGGGCGTCAAATTTGGCGTGGGACATAGTAACAGGTGTCGAAACATGGATTTATAGTTACGATCCCAAAACAAAGCAGCAATCGAGCGTATGGGTCTTTCGAGATGAGCCGAAACCAACTAAAGTGGCGCGCGTGCAAAGTGCCTCTAAGCGCATGGTTGCTTCTTTTTTTAATAAAACTGGGACACGTGGCTATTGTTGCTTTCGAGAATCGTACACGACCATTTGTGTGCCGGAAGTTATTGACAAACTCCGTAAAAATAACCGTAAACGCCGTATCATCTTGTACCACGATAATGCCATTTCTCACACGGCCAGACAGACAAATGAATTTTTGAAGGTGAACAACGTTGACGTTATGAGCCATCGCGCGTACAGTCCCGACCTGGCACCTTGTGACTTTTATTTATTTCCAAAAATTAAGAACCAGTTACGCGGTCAACGATTTTCATCACCTCAAGAGGCTGTCGAAGAATATGAAAAATATGTTTCAGAGATTGTCACGGAGGAGTGGCATAAATGTTTTCAATATTGGTTCATCTGTATGAAAAAGTGCTTTAACGCTAACGGAGAATATTTTGAGAAATAATATATTCATTTCTGACCATGTATAGTATTTTTTCATATTAATTCCGGAAACTTATAGTGCGCCTCACGTAGTTACATGTCCACATAGTGTTAGTAGGTATTTACAACTATTTTAGTAAAATACAAAGTGTTCATTTTCATGAACAAGGATGGACATCCATCCCGTACTTTAAGTATTCGGCTGTCCGTCCTCTCAGGTAATACCTTAAGAAGACTGTTGGTGCTGCCTCTCACTCTGGTCAACAGGGATGCCACTCACTTGCGAATGATTACCTGAAAACTATCAATCCTACCCTCCACGAACATCCCTGAGGCACTACAATGTCCAGGCAGCCCCAGCTGTCTCCTGAGGGCGTTGTTCACGCAAGGCACTGCGCTTTTTAGTGTTATTATTATTTTTTATTTTTTTTGTGTTTGCCAATGCATTCTTTTATTTAATTGACTTTTTATGCCATTTTGCTTGTTGCAGAGATTCCATAAAATTATGATTACCATCTATTGGTATAGATGGTAATAATAATTTTATGGAATTTTATTTTTATTATTACAGGTAATGGTTACCTGTAATAATGTATGAATAAATGAATTGTAGTGACTAGTTTCAAGGTGTATATATGAATGGAAATTGGTTTTGAGAGAGGCAGAGCTGTTGACCAGTGGCACCCTCGACCATGCTGGAATATGACATTTATATTGACTATTCACATACGTTCACCGTTAACCATGGGGAATGTAATCATAAGCGATTGTCATACTAATAAAAGTCGAATTCCTCTAATGTTCGGTTCACTTATTTGACCAACAATTTATCATTGGAATAATGCGCTAGTATTTGGAAGTGAAATGTATTATTTAACAAACTTTGTATAACTTATTAGATGATGCGCAACGATCCACCAGAGGGTATAGCGGCAACTCCACTGGACCCCAAGTGTTGCCACTGGCAGGCCAGCGTGACTGGCCCCGTTGGATCGCCCTATGAGGGAGGAATCTTCTATTTGTACATACAGGTGCCTTACTCGTGAGTATTAATTACCCTTTTGTTAATATATAGTAAAGCTGTAGGTTTACCAGAGTGGCTATAAGTGGATTGTTGTACTACACTTATAAAATTCTTATACCTCTTAATCTCTATTATTACTAAAAAAAGTTAAATAAAAGATTTTTTTATTTAATTGATTCATTTTATTATATACAAAAGACGAATTATCGGTAGATAGAGGTTTAGAGATAATAAACTGACGTGACAGTGTGCAATAGTGTTACTTTAAAGTAGGGTTTCTTAATATTGGTAATGAACGCTGGGAGTACGTGGCGAGCTCAATTAACATAATGGAATAGCAACTGTGTGACGGTTTCTATCACATAACTATTCCTAAGTATTCATATGTAATTAAATAAAGTTTAATAGCAAACAATATAAGGTAGTAAAAGCTAAACCTGGATTTTTTATCTTTTCGGAAAGGGTCCGTGGGCTCTTTGACATTTTGAGAAGGGTTCATGACTAGAAAAAAGTTTAGAAACACTGCCTTATAGGATTGATTTCACTTTCTTACTCAAGCCGTCAAGGTATATAACATATATATAATATATCAAGAAAAAGTGTCATTAGTAGGTGTCAGGTTTAACTCAATTTTTTTAAATATAACAATCCGATTGTAGGGTTCTTGTACATCGTGCACGACCTGAACCTTTATATAATTCAGCATACTCGTACATACAACCCTGACGCCAATGTTATTAGTTCTGACAATAGCGACATACTGGTAAAGTACAATCATCCTACAGTGCGTCTAACACCGCATCGCCACTCTCTAAATAAGGTTAGATTGGCTGTCGGAATCGCATTGGAAGACGCTGCTGCTTATCTACTGAATCTGGGCTGCTTGACATCGAAATAGATGTCTAAGATAAGACTTAGTAGCAGTAGAGTTTCTGTGAAAGAGTTCGTCCAGGGAAGTACTGCCACCTTACCTATTAATATAGTAATGTGTACTATAATAAAATATATTGTGCACATTATAATGTTCAGTAAAATAATATGGTAATGTCAGCACTACTGTGTTCCGGTTTCGAAAGGCACGGGTACAGGCACATGGGACTTGTCCACTTATGTTTCAGGGTGTCGAGCACAGTGGTATTGCCCCTCAGATCTTTGTGATTTAAAGCTCTGAGTGGTACTGCGACTGTTAGGGACAGGCGTGTCGCTTACCACTAGGTACACGACTTGTTCGTTCCGTCACATACATTTATAAAAAAAAAAAGAATACCACAAGCGCTTGTTTACAAAAATGTAGTTATTTACACCATTTTTGCCGCGGAAGCTCATGATTAAGGGCCACGCACTGGTTCGAAATATGTCCAGCAAAAATTCGCCAAATACTTGAGTTATCCGTTAGTTTAGTTAATGTCTGATTCTCACGGTAGTTTTTTAGTTAAAATTATTTACACTAATATTACGTTAAACCTGATTTTTTCATTCCCAGCTACCCAATGAGTCCGCCGGTCGTACGCTTCTTAACCCGTATACTTCACCCGAACGTGTCGCGTCACGGCGACGTCGGCATAGACTCGGTGCACCACAACTGGTCGCTGGCGCTCACTATCAGCAAAGTACTGATCTCAATACAGAGTCTGCTTACAGATCCTTATACAAATGTAAGTGTGTATTGTACTCTTATCAAATCATTGCCGGACGTTATATTACGCGACCAACATTGAAGCAATATTGCATTGAATCTTAGTATAATATTGATATAGACAAGTAGTTCAATACCCGCCTGTTCGGCATCAATGCCTACTTGAGACTTGGGCTGAGCGTAGGGTTGTCACATTATTATTTTCGTCGTTACTACAAGTTATAAACATAATTTAAAAAAAAAAGGTATTCATAATAGTATTATCGTGGTATATTGAAATAATCTTTGTCAAATGGAGTACTTACATATGACATGACATTTTTATCTGAATCGTGGTTAGAGACGATTATGGGAATATGATCATGAAATGAATTGCGAGTTGTTGAAATGATGTTTATTGATTTAGCGTATTTTATGTTCTAAAACTTAGTATTGAATGAATCAAATATAAATCAATAGTAATTTAAATCGAGCAAAGATTAAAATGTTAATTAATTTTATTTAATTTTGATATTGGTAACAGTATCCTGTTTTTCCTACCTTTCTTTTTAAAATTTCTGAGTGTCATTTTGGCTCTCCAGAGAAAAAAAAATCATTTAAACCTTACATAATATAACTTATTTTATTTAGCCCTAACCTCCTATAAACAAAAAAATATAGATTTATAAACTGTTTAAATATATTTGTTTATATATTTCAAACACCAATTCTCTAATGAATGGCGTGTCACGCGCTGTGCAACTCGAGTGCACTGGGAGATTACGGGAATGTTTGCGTCCGTATACGGCGCGCAGTGGGCGCGCTAAGAAGATAATATTGATAGTGTAATAATATATAATATAATAAAATAATAATATGTGCCACAATATGCACTAGGAAAGATCTCTAAGTAGACGATTTTGTGTCCGTCAGGATGGCTGGACCAAACGAGATATATAAATCAAACTGTGCTCATTATTTACTACCTATTTTCTACTATTTAGTATCTTTATTGGCATATATTTTCTACCTTAGCGCTAACGTAAATAGTGGCCAGTCATTCTGACGTCAGGTTGGCTGATTGGTATAAAATTTACTTTTTTTATCATTGACTTACAATTATATGGACGTCGGGTCCGCACTAAAAAGTGTCCGAACTTATAGGGCCTTAAAATCGTATACAGAGCGTCATTCACGCTTTAGTCTTCGTTTGCTCGACTGACAGCGAAGCAAGCAAAATTAGACAGTACTGCGATGACATTACAATTTAAATTCAACGTTTTAGCTTTTTCATATTCCTTTACATGTCACTACGTTTAAATAGGTTGACTTGGGACATTTTTTTCGTGGTTTTTGTATTAGACCCGTCGTCCATTTATTTGTAAGTCAATTTTTATTTATTTAAACACTTTATTGTACCACAAAGTAACTTACAAATTTTCAGAAACAATTTAAATATTTGTGTACAAAGGCGAGTCAATGTTTCAATGTTTTTTATATAACTATTTACTACCTAAACAAACTTTTTTCACTATTTTAGGAGGTTTTTATAAAAAGTTATTTAAAAAATAATAATAAAACCCCTTTGCAAATCTTCTAAAAAGACAGTTTATCTTCTACGTGTAATTGCTAATAATACTTATTCAGGCGCTTAGAATATGCCAACAACGGTTTCTGGATTGCCTTGCAAGCAATATTTTATAATAATTATTATATTAATTACTAGTTGAATTCACTATTACAAATGTAAATTACATTTGTAGGTATTAAACATGCGAACGAATTACAATCAGTTCATTAACAATCGTTTAGTTTATTTATTTATTTATTTACTAAAGACACAATGTAAACTTACAGTAACAACCAAGAACGCTTATATGCTAATTACTTAAACTACATACATATTTGATACGCTAAGTTTGTAATAAATTTTTTTAAATAAAAAAATTTGCTGTCGCAAAAGATGTCAGCATCCTGGAACTTAGCGACTAGACAATTAAGCAACGTGAGACTACCGTTTCGTGGGCGCGTTGTCAGTCCGGCAAGTATGTCGCACAGGGGGCGTAAACAATTGATGTCGGCGTCGGCCCGTACCTGTTTGGCACAAACAGATCGACGTTGCTCAGTGTTCCGGGATTGTCTAACCTTTTTTTTTTGTTAATCCGGGGGAATCTGCTTACAGACACCCCGGCCCCGCGGGGGCAGAGCCGGGGTTATGTGGGACTGGGCTGAACCCTGAAGGGGAGCAGCCCGACCGCATTAGATCCCCGGAGTGTTCCTCCTCTCCGCTGTAGGTGGGGGTACGGGTACGCTGTTGCACTCGTCCGCGCCCCCACCAGCGGCTGGCCGCGCCCTGCGCAGCCCCTCCTCGAGAAGGGAGACACATCGGTCCCCCGACTCCGAATGTGAGGCTCGCCGAACACCAGACGAGCCTTCCATCCCGGGCCCCTTTATGCTGGGCAACGAACTCCCCCGAGTCCGCTACCCAGGGGCCATGGGGGGCCAGGACAGCATCCACTCAACTGTGAAGTTCAGTGGCTGCTCCCCCAGCCCCCGCGGCGGATCTGATGACAGGCTCCGCCGCAACACCTAACGCGCTTCCGCGTGGACTCTCCGAAGAGAGTCCCTTGGAGCGCCCACCACGGTGCAGCCCCGCCAAGGTCGCGGAGGACAGGACGAGCGGCAACGACACACCGACACGTCTCTCCCCCCGCGACCCTCCTCCTCGCGCATCCGCGCGGAACCTAACCTCGCAGGAGAAATATGTAATGGACTACGGTTCGAACTTTACGTCTTACTTCCAAGGACTACACTTACTTATCTGAAGATAACTTTTGCAAAGGTGTTTTATTATTATTTTTAAATAACTTTTTGTAGAAATTTCCTCAAATAGTGAAAAAAGTATGTTTAGATAGAAATTAGATAGTAAATAGTTATATAAAAAAGTAAATTATATACTGCTAGAACCATGAAGAACGTAAAGTCAGCCAATCTGACGTCAGAATGGATGGCCACTCTTTAATATTTCCGTTGGCGCAAGGATAGAAAATATGTCAATAAAGGTACTAAATGGTAGAAAATAGGTAGTAAATAATGAGCACAGTTTGGTTTATACACCTCGTTTCGACGTATTTCACATATTTTCGAACAGTACTTTATATCAAACTTCCTAATATCAGTGAATCAGTTTGTATTTGTCAGTTTTGAAACAACTTTATAGGAATATTTTTTCAGGTGTGCATGGAGCCAGAAATTGGTGAGATGTACGTCCGCGATCGAGCTCGGTTCGAAGCACTTGCGCGCCACTGGACGTGGCGATACGCTATGCATGACATACTACCCTACTGGTTAAGCCAAACAAATAAATAAATAGAAACCATAGATAAGTGGGCTTCGAAGACTCCATTATATAAGTTTTTGTAAATAAGGACTATAAAAAGCGATATTTTTGTGATATAAAATTACGTTCTACTATTACTATGAAGTAAAATATATTAAAACTCTAATGTAAAATGATAGAAAATTGTAATAAAATGTAGTGGAAGATATTAATACATAACAATGTAAATAGTAAGACAAAATACTTTAAAAAAATTCACTTTTATTTATTTCACATAAAATTACAAAGGTTCTAACTCGGTTATGCTATTGTACATTTGGTTTGTACGCGTGTTCGTTGTCTTATTCCTTAATTTTAAAGCTCTCCATATTGACTTCAGCCTTTCGCAGTTACAAAGTATTGGTAGACATACGCTACTGCCAGGACTCCTACAATACCCTGGGTAGGGAGTCTCAGTCCTTGGAAGCCATCGGCGTGTATTTTCGAAGAACGTCGGCGACGCTAAGTCTATCTCTTGTCTAATCTTGTACAAAGGAACTACTTGCACCTCGGTATGGAGTTGTAGTCTACCTGGTACAAAGTAGAAGACATAGGACGCTATGTGCAAGAAACCCTGGAAATAATATAAACATTCTTACTAACAAAACTATTAACAATTTTCTTAAAAATGTAACAGTCCATCAACGAAAAGCTCGAATTTTCTTTACAATTCTATCTTGATCAGAAATATTTGCAAATTTGAGTACGTATATCTTATCGAGTTCTTAGGTTTTCGCGATTGTTACACATAGGAAATGAAACTATCCGGATTTAAATCGCTAATATTTGTTTTTTCAAACAAACGTTGTTGCCGATATTTTCATGGAAGACTTCGAGGAGCGAGTTTTACCCATGGCCCCAGGTAGGCCGAAGATGTTCAAACGGTACGTTGATGATACTTTCACAATATTACCTAAAGATAGCATACCTTCTTTCTTGGACTATCTTAATTCTTTTAGTACTAAGATCCAATTTACTATGGAACAAGAGAATTGTGGTACTTCAGCTTTCTTAGATATTTTAATTAAAAGAAATCCTAATAACACCTTAGGCCATACTGTATTTCGAAAGAAAACCCATACAGATAGGTATCTCAATGGTAAATACCATCACCATCCTAGCCAGTTAGCTACCGTGGGCAAATATTTGTTTCAGAGAGCACATGATGTCTGCGACAGTAATCATCTAGCAGGGGAACTTCAGCATATAAAGCAAGTCCTACATGCGAATAAGTTGAAGATTCCACGCCAATGCCGCAGGCCCCGTGTGAAACCACCAACAGTCGAGCGAAGACCTGCCATCTTACCTTACGTGGGAGGTGTTACAGACAAGATCGGAAGAGTCCTCATGCTTGCATCTATCAAGACCTATTTCTAACCCCTGAGAAAGATTCCTCAGTTCCTGAGACCCGTGAAATGTAACATCCCCTTACAAGATGCAGGAGTTTACAAGCTTGACTGTGAGTGCAGTCTCTCTTATATTGGAGAAAACAAAGCGAAGTATTTGTACCCGCGTCAAAGAACATATAACTGATGTCAAACACCATCGCGTAAACAAGTCTGCAGTCTGCGAGCATGTCATGGCTAAACCTACACATTCAATGAAGTTTGACAAACCCCAGGTCCTTGGAAAAGAAGTCCCAGGATGCTGCGAGAGGCCATTGAAATTAAAAAACATCCTAATTTCAACAGGGAAGATGGTTTCTCCGTACCACCAGTTTGGGATCCAGTATTTCCTCTAATGAAAAATCCCAAACAGCCATAAGACTGCAGTACTAATTAATATGTTTTAGTTTATTCTAATTTATATTAATAATTAATAATAAATTGAACTAATAAAAATTCATTCAATAAAATAATTTGTAAAACTTAATGTAGCGTAAATTGGAATGTTTTCTTTGTATAATTAAAAATATGGTATTTAATTAATAACTACAATAGTTACAAAACTACTACTATAGTGAAAAAATAAGGTGGTTTGCATTCTAATATTGTTAGACATAACTGGTTGAAGTCAGTCAACCGTGACCTGTAACGGACCCGAAACGTCGGTTTGTTTGAAAAAACAAATATACGCGATTTAAATCCGGATAAATAGTTTCATTTCTACGTATTATCTTATCGAATTTAAACAGGAATTGCACGGGTGAAATATTCTTTTTACGGTACAATTCCATTAATTCATTTATTTCTCTCATGAGTTTGGTTGTAATTTGTGGTTGCCTATGTGTGTGTCCATGGCATCCGTGATACAGTTTCTCTAGTGCGGGGCTATGAGTGTGCGTTATTTATTTAATGATTTCAGAAAACTTTAATTTTGAAAATTGGTAGGTATGCAAAAGTTATTTGTAAACGTAAAATAAGTTATATGGATTCTCAAAGTTATAATAATAAATAATATGTAAATAATATAATTATATTTGGCAAAAAACCAGTAACTTAACTTTATTACACATTTTTATAACATTTCTATAATTTTTCTATTCCTATTTTAATTCATTTACTTGGGTTTTAATTATACGTTTTTATTATTTTCTGTTTTTGTATTAACCCCAGAAGTTTTATTATGAAATAAATTAATAAATGGAATATTCTTTATTGCACATAAAAAATTACAATGACGACACGGAACAATCATGTAAGTGTTACAGAATAAGCTCAAGTACAACAGGTGGCCTTATGGCTAAGTAGCAATTTTTTCAAGGCAACCATAAGATAGAAATTTAAAAGTTCGAAAGGTGGGTGCAATCAATGAATATCTTGTAATGGAAGTATTGTATTACCAATAAGTACAATATATGTATATTGAATGCTAATAATGTATATATAATAATAATATTTACTTATACTTTTGTAGGAAAATAAAATAAGTAATAAATTAATAAATATATTTATAAAACCTTTTGAATATCCTGTATACTATGATAGTCTGACAAGCGGACTTACATTATTTACTTGCATGTATTTACTTTTCGTTGATGGATTGTTTGTACTAACTTGTATATGGAACTACATTCTTAATATATTATAACCTACTTGAATGTTGATAAGCTCAAACTGTACAGGTAACATTGAACAGGCTTATGAATCAGTTTATGTAGTTAATTTTTTTAGTTCAATTATTAACTGCTATTTCACGTTTCATTACTGTTCCAGTCAGGCATAAAGATAACATTAGTAGTGAAATGTAGTTTTGAAGGAACCGGAAGTTTGGTTTGTTTCTACATATTATTTATTATGTCTACTTATTATCTATTAACTACAAGCATTTACAATACACGAACATATAATACAATTTCATATTTTATTTTACTTTAAGATTTTATTTTTAATTTTTTTTATTATTATTTTGTTGGGAAAGTTAAACATTAATATTTATGTATGCCTAACCTAAGTTCTTTTAATATATTGGTATTATTTTTCGCCATTTTTAATTTTCGATATTTTTTTGACAATTTTTTATAGTCTTTCTTTTCTATTAAGTGTCTAAGAGTATTTTTGTTTCTGTTTTCTTAACTGTATAGTTGATTTCATAACTACATTTACTTGAATGATCTGATGTCTTGAAAGAATTAACATGATTTTCTTGGAGATCGATCTCTAGAATGTCCCCTAGATCGTCCTCTAGAATGTTCCCTTGAACGACCCCTGGATCTGCCCCTAGACCGATCACGGGATTTTCCCTTAGAACGATCACGAGATCTTCCCCTAGAACGATCACGAGATCTTCCTCTAGAACGACAACGAGGCCTTCCTCTGGAACGACCACAAGATCTCCTCCTGATACTCTCACGGGATCTTCCTCTAGAACGACCACGAGACCGCTCCCTGGAATGTCCTCTAGACCTTGACCGACCAGTTATTTCTATTTGAACGGTAATATTCTCTTGCTTTAAGCGAATTATTCCTCCGGTGTCACCTGAAGATTTTCCCCGTGAGCAACTCCGTGACTTTTCTCTAGATCTTCCCCTGGAGTTTTCCGTAGCTCGATCTTGACATTTGTTCCTGGAACGTGACATTGCTTGTTCTTTATTTATTTCAACATTTTTTGGTTCCTCTTGGTCAATAATAATCACTTCTTGAGTCTCTTCCAAGTCATAACCTCCACAATCTTCATTGCCTTGAGAGACATTTGATGGTGGGTTATTTTCATTATCTTGACTTTTGAATTCTGTTGAATGCAATTCTGCTTGCTCGTTTCTATTATAGCTTCTAAATCGACTTCTATACTTTTCTATCGAACGTGAGCGATCTCGTCTTTCTTTAGAAACATTATTACTTTCCTCACCTGTTCTTTCTACGGAGCTTGTCGACCTGCAGCCATCTCCTTGAATCTCGACGACTATGTCCATGATTTAAACTGGATCTGTAACATACAGAACTATTTGTGTTGAAAATTATGTTAATATCATTAGATAAAAGCACTCACGCGTACTGATAAAAAGACTGCTAGTCTGTACAACACGTTATGACTTATGATAATAATAAAGAGAATGAGGGCTTTATATAGGTGAATTTATTTCGCAATATTCAATTGTTACGTAATATTTTGAAATGTTATGCAATAGTAGGTATAAATGTTAATATTACGTAATATTATAACATATTATGCAAGAGATCTACAGGATGCTCACATAGTAACGCCTATAATTAACAAGTACCTATATATTTTATGCCTATACAGACGGATGCATCTTACATGGTTTCAGTATCTAGTTGCTTTTTAAAACGCTAATAAACTTAGTTTTAAAAATATAATGAATATGTGAATATCGTTTTTTTTTGGTATTGTCAGTACACGAGAACTGAAAGACTCCTTTTCTGCGTCTTGATTTTGATTCAAATTGGAATAGATCCGATCGGTTAGTCTCGAAGAACCTGAATCCTACTATATCTTTCTTTAATTTGTGAGTTAAATCAACTATTGTTCCGATTAGAAATGTCAAAAGTTTCCGATGGGCCAGTGTGAATCGCAATTATGCGCCTCGACTCTGAAAAGACCTTAGACTATTTTTTCCATCCTCTAAGGAAAAGACGCAGTTTCCGATCGGGAGAGGCAATCAAAATCAAGCTACTGTACTCAAAATTGAATATAGACTTCAGCGTATCAGATCGCTAAAGTAAATCGTTGCTGTAGATAAAAGGTTTTAGG